TAAACAATTCAGACTATTTCATCTGGGGGTTGAGAAATGCTGACCATGACCACTAGATGGTAGAATAAACTCACAACAAATTCATTTTTCTGCTTGAGTTGTAAAAGATGTAAAGAAGTCAAGGCCTGTGAGTTTCTAGGCCGCTGAGCTGCAGCAGTGTCTTATGGGTACTGTTAATTTTCTTTCACTTTCATTCCACCACAAGTACAATTCAATCAGTAGCCTTGCAAGCTGTCTTTAAATTTTTCACTAAAATGCTACACATGTCCCCAATTTGATAGAAAATGTGAATGGGTATTTCTAACACTTTCAATCAATTCATTGTAATAGAATCTATTCATTTTGGGGAACATGGATTTTGTTTTCTTTTTTGCTCAAATAAATATGTTCTCCCATCCCTTCTATGTCTTTTGAAAACATTCATTCTTGGTAAAACCATAGTTCACAGTTTGCAAATGAGGTCTTTACCTCTATATTTTAATCTTGGCAAAAATCAATAGTACATGACATCATGACATAAGAGAGCATCTATGTACAAACATATACAATTTTATTGATATCTCTACAGACTACAAGATTTTTAGGTATAGTCACAATTGCTGAATGCAACAGAAAAATAGTAATTTGTCATTTTTTTGAAAAGATGCAAAAATTCTGAAGATGAAAGAAAGATACATCAATGGCATTGTCTGTCTCTTATTTCCTAGAATAAAACATCACATAATTAAGTACTAAAAATTATAGGTTATTAGAGACTTTAATCCTGTGTACAGCTACCCACAACCACCACCTAGTGTATCTTCTGGCTTTGCAGTTGAGAATGGTGGGCCAAGACAGGAGGGGAAGTGGCATGAGGGGACAGAAGTCTGAATATTGCCTTCCATTGGCTGGATTCTTCCTTTCTGGACGTGTGAGCACTTTTTCAGGACCCTGGTGTTCAAATGGTGATTTTCCCTTTACCCACATACCCAATAAATCAGAGAACAAATTCAAGTGACCCTGGGAACCATTGAGACAATAACCAAACAATTCTCCCTGTTTGCTGAAATCAGATCCAGTAGGATACCCACAGCAGAGCAGGGGCCACTCACCGTGTCTGCTCCAGAGGAAGGGTGTGTAATAAACTTGGAGCTGATTTAGTATGTGATTATTTTGAGAATTTCCATTGTCCAGATATTGAGAATAATTTTACCACTTAGCTTTATATACTGCTGAACTATGGTGATATTTCTGGTACCTTATGTAAAAGACAGTCAAAACTTACACTTTGACTTAAAATAACTAAAGATCAAGTCACACAGAATAAAATTATAGAGTTTCAAAGAATTAGTCAAGCTGCCTCATTAGAAATGTGCACTCACTTTTGTTCTGTGAGAGGCACAGAATAAATGCCAAGCAAGACAAGGCTGAATCTCTTACAGTCTGCCTTTCCTGATCCCTTAGAAGGGGCTAAAATATCAGCCCAGGAAGACAAGAATCTTTTAGTTGGTCATAAAGCAGTGCTTAGCGACTTTGGCTGGACACGGACCCACTTTTAGGGCTTTCAAAAATACTGATGTTAAGACATCTTGAAATCATTGGGAATTTAAAAATCTCAAATGATTGTTATGTACTGCCAAGGCTGTACTTAAAAAGATACAAGCCAAAAAAAGATGCAAACACAGGCATTACCCTGTGCTCTGGTTGCATCAAAACCTCACTTCCCTCAGACTCTCATATCCCTTCCCACACCCCCACTCCCCCACCATGCTCACCTTCTCCCCTGTGTCTAGATGTGACCTCCCCTATTTCTTACATCCAGGGCTATGTGGTCTGTAGATAAGAATACTAAACTTTTTAGCAACGATGCTTTCTACAATCTTGCATATGAGAGCCAATGCTCAACCTAAGTTGGTGACAATTATCTCAGGCACTCTGAGCAGTGTGTGCATACACAATGCTACCACCTAAGATGAGGCTGAGAGACAGGTGAAGAAGCAGTGAAGCTGGTGTTTTTCCTAACACAGACAGCAAGACTTGACCTGACATGCTGGCTTTTGTCACTGCACTCAATGAACCAGAGTGGTCAGAGAACAGGGTTTGCACTCTCACCCAAGAAAGTTTGAAACACAAAGAATATCCTAATAGTTTCCCTTTCCAGGCTAGCTTCATTCCATCTGTCCAAATGTCTGATAGCTAAGTATTTCAAAGAACAGCTTAATCTTTAATCAATCTTGGACCTCATCTTATTCTATTTTTTCAAACTATCACAGACAATGGGTAAATGATACCTTTAAAATGGTATTGGTGGATCATATAAAAGGGAACTTATAGTTTAAAGTCTCTTTAAATTTTTGAGAGTCAGAGACCTAGATTTTATTGAGAATCAATTCCAAAAGATTTAGAAATGTTCCTATGACGGAATTGCTGGGAAACATCTCAGTTTTGTCACTGAAGCTGAAATCACACAACACACAATGGCCCCCATGGTGAAGTGTAGAAGCAAGTCCGACACATAGTACTTTCAGTGGATTGAATAAGTGACAAGTCAATCACCCTCTACCCAAACTCCAGGACAAATGGACAGTTTCGTGGTGAGACCATTGCTTACATTACTGTTAGAACCAGGGAAACACACACATCTTCTTTATATGGTTGATGAACAGGATGGAAGGTCTGTTTTCTGCTGGAACTCTAAGGGCTTCTCTGTTGAGGAAAAAACCAGGAGGTAAAGTCACCTTGTGCAGATGGTGCAAGACTTATCTTCTGATGCCACCTCAGAGATACAATGTGATTTGATGGTAACTGAGACTCGGCCACCTTCTGCAGCACTATTAAAGTTTCTGGAAGTGGTTTTGCTTATGGTCCAAGACAGAAGAGAGATGAGAAAATGCAAAAGGTTACATGTATAACACTACTCTTTTCCCTAAGATAGCAATGATGGCAAAATGGCGGTGGTGGTAGTGGTGCTGAGTGTGTGTGTGTGTGTGTGTGTGTGTGTGTGTGTGTGTGTGCGTGCAAGGTTAATGCAACACAATAGAAACGCTCAAAGAGGAAAATCACATCCATGGTTAAATTATTGTTATTGCTATCTCTTTGAATTATAAAAATAATTTTGATACAGTAGAACCTCATTAATTTGGATTCTGCCAACCATTGATTCGTGGGATGAGTTACCCTTAAGAAAGGGCTTGGCAACAATTTTGTAAGCACATTTAAGCTTTAAACATTTATGAGAACTTGTTCTTTTCAAGCATCACAGAAGCACCTACTCCAAATGATGTCTATTTATACATATATATATTTGCTGAAGCCAGAATTTTGAGCATGTCTATTGTAAAATGTGGCTGTCTCCTTTTGATATATTCTCTGTGTGCTTTGAAATAGTCTGCAACTGTTATCTCACTGATTCTTCAAAATTGAGCTCTATTGTATCTGAATCACACATATAATTTTGGGTGGGACTTCTCTTGCTAAGACAATGTGCTCTTATTATATGCTGTTTTCTGTAAAAACATTATGTATTTCACAGTCTTTCTCTTTAAATGATGTAAAATAGTAGCTCTCAACTGGAAGCAATTTTGTCTTTTTTTTTTTTCACTGTCATTACTAGGAGGTTCCTAATGGCATCTAGAAGGCAGAAGCCAAGGGTACTATTAGCATACCGCAATACTCTAAAAAAAACTGTGCTAATGATGCTGCTATTGAGAGCTCTTGGTATAGAACAAGTAAATTTGTTTGTGTATGTATGTTCTTGAGGATTGAACCCAGAGTTTTGAACATGGTGGGCAAGCACTCTACCCTGAGCTATATCTCTAAAACAAGTAAATATTCCTGGGAGTTTCAGAGATAGTCATTGAATTCAATGCTACTTTGGGATGAATTTTGCTACTTCAAAACAAAGGAACTATCTCATTCTTTTAGGCCATTTTAAAATGTAGAAATGTTGAAGTATCAAAAAAATCAGAGACTTGGGCCCTTAAAACATATAGTATAAATTGTGTGTTGCAATTTGGCTGCCAATGTTTTCCAGGTCCTGGCCTTAAATTCCATTAATATTTTTACCATATAAATATGTGGATTATCTGTATTTCCAAGTCAACTAATCTTATGTTAACACTATAGCAGGAAGTGGATTTACAGAGAGATATTATTAAGAAACCAAAATTCTAGGATTCTGAGAAATGCTACTCTAATGTGTATTTTCTGGCTTTTTTAATCACTTCTGCTCTCATTTCAAAGTTACTGAGAATAATTTAAAGGAAGCACCGTTTCAAATAAAAAATATGAAACCAATGAAAAATAATAATTTTGCCTATGAAGCTGGATTCAAGGAAATGGTGATGTTTTAAACCCAAATGTAAACCCAGCAAGATCTCAAATCACCAAAATTCAGTAAATCAATCAATCAATCACATAATTTAAGATTTTAAAAATAGGAATGACACACTGTCAGGTGAGTCCTATGATTCTGACTTCCAAGCATGTTCAATAGCGTGAGTAGGAGTTGTCATCTATGCTTCCTTGTAGTGCCTCTCCATTGGGTTATGGCAGATCATTTTATCATGCTACAGCTGGTCTTTACCTCGGAGAGTTTTTAAGAAGGTGTTTGGTATTTACTGCCACATTCCTGTGACTTATATTAGTCAATCTAGTGACAAAATTATCGAGTTTGTATTGTTAAATTATCTATGGATTTGTGTTATTCATGATAACTGTGGCCAACATAGCTAAACCACCACTGGATTTCATAAAGGTTCCCATTAGTAAGTGTTGAACCCCAAAGTATTTTCTAATGAAGCCCTTATGAATCAGAATGTAGTAACTCTTTCCCAGAACATTAACTGAGGTTTTCCTGAATCACATCGACAAGAACGACCAGTTTGGTCTGTGACTGTCAGGCTGCATAAAGCATCTTGGGGTTGTAGACCCTACTGGGTTTGAACAGTAATATACTGTGTAACTTTCAGATAAGGATACAAATGATGCTTTAAAAATATATTGATTTGGAAACTGAAATGGGGGTATGTGAAATTCCACTCCTTGTGAAATCAGTTCTCAAAACTAACTGCATTGTTCCTGTCATCTAGTGCCTGCAAACCTATCGCCAACTCCTCTGTAGACTACAAACCAAGCTGAAGGAATGCTGGGAGGTGACTCAGCCCTGTTCGGCTGAGGACTAAAACCACAGGTTCATCCTGAGGGTGACAGAAATAGAAAGAAGAGTTGTGAATACTTCACTATCCTGGCAGAACTTGATTATGAGTGAGAGCTGTAAATGATGTGAAACCCTATGAAGAGAGAAAAATGTTAATCAGATTTTTGCTAGGAAGAATTTGATAGGTAATGTCCTAGTATACTAAGGGAAGTTTCAGATGAAAAAAAAAAAATTCTGGGTTTGTTTTGATTCCTTTTTGGTTGGGTATGGCAGATACACTTGAAATGCACTGTTATCTTCTAATGCAGATTTTTAAACTGTTGGGTGTGGCCCAATTCATAAAAGTAGTTTACCATAAATCCTTTTTTCTTCTGTTATAACATGCTTTTGTTTCTTTTCCTCTTAAGATATTAATTTATCATGCAAAGATTTTTTTCATTAAGTGCATTAATGCTTTTTTTTTTGTACAGGAAATTTCAAATCAAAAGGACTCCCCAATAGTTTCCAAACACAAATTCTTAGCAAATTATATGCCAAGATGATAACGTCCATTCCACATGGGGAAAAGACAAATTCAGCCATTATCTTGGGATTGTAACCGGGGTTCCAGCTTGCATGGTGTACAGCGGCTTTGCCTTGGGTACGCCTCCTTAGGATAACTTCAGATGGGCTCTAATGAAACATTTTGTAGAAGAAACTGGTTTCTAGCAGTTGAATAGTGATGCTGGGAATAAATTTGGTTTCCCTGAATAATGGTTTCTCAAAGCAGTCACAGCTTCTTTAGATGGTTAGAACTGGTACCATTTCTTATCCTTGTATTTCAGCATTAACTGGAAAGAGAAAAATAGCAATCAAAAGATGCTACAAAAATCTTAAAAGTGCTATTCAGAAAATCAATAGTGAGTTAATCATGGATATTTGGTTAAGTATCAAAATGTAATAAAACTGTATGGCCTCTTACTTTGTGGAACAAAGTGCACGTGAGACAAGCTTAAAAACAAATACTTAAGCTGTCCAAACTTAGCTGATGGGAAATGTTAACGACAGACAAAATGAAAGATGTGAATTCTAGCCTTTACTGATTTTTTTTGGGGGGGAGGATTCATAAAATCTCCCTGTGCACCTTTCAAGCAGGTGATACAAACTACAGACCTACTGAATCAGAATGAATCAATACATTATACCCCAAGTTAAAGGAGTCTCAACTTAATGCAGCTTATTTTCTTAATCTCCCTGAGTAGGGAGACTATAGTACTCCAGGGATTCAGGTCACATGGTGCCTCTGCCTAGGCTTCATTATACAGGACTCAAGTGTTTCCAGTAGCTACATTATGAAGACGCCTGTATTTACTTGGGCACTTTACCTCATGTGCATGTTTGGAAAATGCTTCTGCACTGGTCATCATCCCTGCAGTCTTCTCTTCCAGCTCGCCCAGCCGTTGCCCTCTCTCATCAAGTGCAATTCGGGCTCGGGTAAGCTCTCCCATCACCCCTCCAGCAGCACCTTTCATCCCTTCTATACTTCCTGGTCCAGGAATGTGCTGTGCAAGGCTTCGGGATGCTTTTCCTGCTGTAGCTTCTCCAACTGAGAATTTAAGCCAAAGAAATGTAAAGTGTCAGTAATTCATAGTCAAGATGTCCTCCAAGACAAAAAAACAAAACAAAACCCTTTGATAAATTTCTACTACTGTCATAATATGTGTTTTGTCACATATATGTGCATGTGTTAAAGATATGAGCACTTAAGAAAAATGCCTAAGGGTGAAACTGGGAGATACGGTTATCATGTGTCTTTGTGTATATGTGGTATGTATATGAGACTGAACTTCCAGTGTATGTGTTCAAGTGTCTGTGTATATGCACATGTATGACCCTGTATGTGGAGGTCAGAGGTTAATCTCAGGTGCTGTTCCTCAGGTGTTGTCCACCTTCATTTTTTTCTTAAAAAAAATGATTGGATTGAATGATTATGGCATGCGTGTGTGTGTGTGTGTGTGTGTGTGTGTGTGTGTGTGTGTGTGTGTGTTATGGAAGTGGTCTTTGTGTGTGTGTGTGTGTGTGTGTGTGTGTGTGTGTGTGTGTGTGTTATGGAAGTGGTCTTAGTTCATGCCATGAACTCAAATTATTAGGTTTGGTGACAAGTACCTCCACTGGCTGAGCCATCTTGCTGGCCGCATCATGTTTTCTGAGATGGGGTCTCTTACTTGGCCTAACACTAAGTCAGAAATTTAGTGAATATTTTTGGTAATGTCACATTGGGAAAGAACCTAAGCTTTGGAAAATAAGATCCTGATTGATATCTAATTGACATACCATTAGTAAAGCATGTAATTAAGTCACTGGTTTTTAATGTCTCATAAAGTTGTATAACTCAACTACTACCTGATTTTATAATATTTTCATTATGCCAAATGAAACCCCAAACTCATTCACAACCACTCCCTATTATCTCTTTACCCCAGCCTCAGGCACCCACTAACTTTTAGTACCCATGAGTTTGCCTATTCTGGACAATTTATATGAGTGGGAATCATATAATATGTGGCTCCTTTTTGGTCTGGTCTCTCTAATTTAGCATGCTATTTGTGAAGTTCTATATTGCCACATGTAACGCATTATTCTCTTTATTGGCTAAAACAATAATAAACTATAGGGTGGTACATATGTCTTTTTGCACAGTTACAGATTCAAGAGAAAGGGAATTTTGATATGCAAGACCACATGGTTGGGAGCATTGTCTGAAAATTTTATTTTTATCTGTCCTCTGAAAATGTTTTTTAGTATTTCCTATTTCTTTTTGATTACTGCTCATCAGAGCCTCACTGGTAGATTTTCAAACTAGTTTTTTTCCTATGGCTCCAATACACTTGCTTTATGAATAAAGCATCCATTTTTAGCAGTGGTTATAAGAAAGCAGACTAAAATGCTTTTTCAGAGTTAAAAAGCCAAATACTATCAACAGTCCATGGAGTTAGGACCTATCTACAACTGGAATGCTTATTAGCTTGCTCATTTTTTATTTGAAATATATATATTGAAATACATATATAATTGTACATTATATTGTATATATAATATATATGCATATTGAAATCAACATATATAACTTGTGGTTAATTATTTCCTAATATAATGAATACTTTTATTTATGTCTAATAAATATAATAATTTTCAAAATACAAGAAAAATAATATATAAACTTTAATATAGAAACGAAAGCACTTTTGTCTAGAATTTGAGATATAGAACATTAAACATCACACACACACACATACACAAACAGGTCTTCTATTTTGTGATGGATCTTTATAATAAGAAATTTACTCACAGAGCTCTTCTCTGTCAAATGTCTGTCCACTTCCACCAAATAGTCCCTTGAGAAAGCCTCTATTTTGAGCTTCTGGTGTTTCTATGGGAGTAAACAAATCGCCTAACATGTCCTGTACCAATTAAGAAAAGAGTATTAGTTCTTTGTAAATTTTGGAGATCAGCCCTCTGTTGGATATGGGGTTGGTGAATATCTTTTCCCATTCTGTGGGCTGCCATTTTGTCTTGCTGACTGTGTCCTTTGCCTTACAGAAGCTAGTTTCCAAAACACCAAATAATCCAATTAAAAAGTGGGGTACAGAACTAAATAGAGAATTCTCAGTAGAGGATCTAAAAATGGCTGAAAGACACATAAGAAAGTGCTCAACATCTTTAGCCATCAGGGAAATGCAAACCAAAACAATTCTAAGATACCATCTTACTCCTGTCAGAATGGCTAAAATCAAAAACACCAATGATAACTTATGCTGGAGAGGATGTGGAGAAAGGGGAACACTCCTCCATTGCTGGTGGGAGTGCCAACATGTACAGCCACTTTGGAAATTGGTATGGCAATTCCTCAGGAAAATGGGAATCAGTCTACCACAAGATCCAGCAATTCCACTCTTAGGTATATACCCAAAAGAAGCACATTCATACAACAAGAACATCTATTCAACGATGTTCATAACAGCATTATTTTTAATAGCCAGAACATGGAAGCAACCTAGATGCCCCTCAACTGAAGAATGGATGGAGAAAATGTGGTACATTTACACAATGGAGTACTAATCATCAGAAACAAACAAACAAACAAACAAAACAATGGAATCTTGAAATTTGCAGGTAAATGGATGGAACTAGAAGAAACCATTCTGAGCAAGGTAACCCAGTCACATAAAGACAAACATGGTAAACTCACTCATATGCGGATTTTAGAGATAGAGTAAAGGACTATTACCAGCCTACAATCCACACCACTAGAGAAGCTAGGCAACAAGGAGGACTACTCTAAGAGAGACATACATGGTCCTTTGGAGAAGGGGAAAGGGACAAGATCTCCTGAGAAAATTGGGAGCATGGTGGGGGGAGAAGAAGCTAAGAGAATGAGAAGGGGAGAAGAGGAGGGGTGAGGAAGACATAAGGGAGCAGGAAGGTTGTGTAGGGAGAAAAATAGAGGAGAGTAGAATAAGAGAGAACATCAAAGAGGGAGCCAGCATAGATTTAAAGCGAAATCAGGCACTAGGGAAATTTCCAGAGATCTACAAGGATGACACCAACTAACCATCTAAGCAACAGTGGAGAGGCTACCTTATATGCCCTCCCCTGACAATGAGATTGATGAGTAACTTATATTCCATCCTAGAGCCTTCATCCAGCAGCTGATAGAAATAGAAACAGATACCCACAGCTAATCACTGAACTGAACTGGAATCCAGTTGCAGAGAAGGAGGAGTGATGAGCAAAGGGGTCCAGACCAGGCTGGTGAAACCCACAGAAACAGCTGATCTGAACAAGGAGGATTTTTTTGCCCCCAGACTGACCACTGGGAAACCAGTATGGAACTGATCCAGACCCCATGAATGTGGGTGTCAGTGAGGCCTCAGAAATCTACTGGGCCTCTTGGAGTAGATCAGTACTTACCCCTAGCACAGGAATGGACTTTGGGAGCCCATTTCACATAGAGGGATACTTCCTCAGCCTAGAAACATGGGGAAAGGTCTAGGCTCTATCCCAAAGGCTATGGCAGACTCCATACCCCCCATGGAAGACATCACTCTCCCTGGGGAGCAGAAATGTTATGGGATAGGTAGGGTGTTAGTGGGGAGCAGGGGAGGAGGGGAGGGAGAGGGAACTGGTATTGACATGCAAAACAATTTTGTTTCTAATTTTAATAAGAAATGGGGAAAACAGAAGGGTGTTAGAGCAACTAAGATGAAATTAATAGATGAGGAAGTAACACTGTGATACGTTACAGTACATCATGAAGACAACCTTTCTGTGTGATTTTTGTTTGGTATACAATCCTGACCTTAGCTCCTCAGAGTCCTTAAATAAAAGAGAAAAGGAAAATTTTTAAAAAGGGGGAGGGTCAGACAAAAGGAAAACTTTAGACAACTCAACCATATACTGCATTGAGCAGAAATGTGAAATCCCCTAATGCCACTGTCCCATGTCACTACTCTGGGGACAGGAGGCAGCAGACTATGTGCTCAACCACTCTGTTGAGAACAGTAGAAAATCCTGCACAACCTATCTCCAAATACTAACCACTGATTAAGACAAGACTGGAGAACCACAAATCATCTGCCATGAACTGAAATTCATTGGAGATACTCAGGCTAAGACTGTGAACCCTGGCAGAAAGGCAACACTTCCCTAATAAGATGAGAATACACAGCCAGGACTGTAAATGGGTGTGGCCACATCAGAGTCTCTGACATTGAAATCCACACAGGATGAATATGAGCACCCTGCACACTAAGAAGACAGTAGCTGGCCAGCTGGAAATTACTCTGAGGGGGTATCCCATGTCAAAGTCTAGGGGTGCCATTTATTTTTATTTTGTTTGAACTCATCAGGAACTTATTTTGTCTTCTGATTTAATTAAAAATTCTTAAAAGCTATTCTTTTGAACTCTTTGTCTGGGATTTCACTGAACACATCTTACTAGACTCCATACTGTGGAATCCTCCTAAAGGAAGACTGACTCCTGATGTCACCAGGGTAGACATTCAACCCAGCAGGGAACGTGCTTGAACTCCACTGAGCCACTGCATGTTGACAAATCTGCTTTAACAGATTTGAGCTAGACAGGCATGCATGTGCTCTCCCATCAGTAGAGTTAGATCCTTAAGACAGATCAAGGAGAGGAGGAAAAGAACATCTATCCCCATAAAGAAGACTGACTAATACTGTAATGTCATTTTTATTTTACATTGTCTCATTGCTAAAAATCTTCATTCTGGCATATTTTTAATGGCTTTATTCAATTTGTATATTCCTTACATTGTATAATTATTCTACTTTTCCACCTATTCCATTTAGTTCTCCATACTATTTTTTTATTTGAAACTCATATAAATATCCCTGAATATCATTTCATTTTTTCTTTCCTCAGTCTCTTCTCTTGACATATTAATTATAATTTCTATAGATTTAATCATCTTTAAACTCCATTTATTCTACCTATAGACATAATGGTAAATAGAGGAAAAACTCTAAAATCAGGAAAGATATTCTGAATTCTTTACTCTTTCTCAATTTAGTTCTTGGAGTATTGGTAAGAACCACAAGAGAATAAAAAAAAAAAAGTTGAATAGACTAGGAAAGGAAGAAAAGTCATTCCCATTTTCAATACTATGGCCCTAGCTACAGGAGACCTAAATCTAAATGCTTTACCAGAACACTTTTAGAAATAACAAACCTTTACAGCCAAGTAGCAAGATACAAAATAAAGATACAAAAATTAATAGCTTTCCTAAATGTTAATAATAAAAATGCTAAGAAAAAAGAAAACAACCATTTTCACATAGTTTAAAAAAGTCTTGGAATAAATCTAACTAAGGAAATGAAAGATCTCTATAATGAAACATTTAAATCATTGAAAAGAGACATTGAAGAAGACACTAGATGACAGAGACTGTACATGCTCATGGATTAGCAGAATATTACAGAAATAGTCCCATAAAACATCAGCCTATAGACTTAGTGCATTCTTCATTAAGGACACTCTATAGAACAAGGAAAAATGCAAAATCCATAGGAAGCACAAAAGACCCAAACAGCCAAAGCAATTCTGAGCGAAAGGAACCATGCCGGAGGTATCACTAGCCCTGAGTTCAGTTATACTATAGAGTCCTAGGAACACAGCCAGAATTCCACTAGCATAAGGACAGACATGTGGATCAACAGAACAGAACAGAGGGCCAGAAATAATCCACTCATCTGCACTGGTAGGACTTTTTACAAAGAGGACAAAAGCATCTTGGAGAAGAGAATTTCTTCAACAAATGGTGCTGGGAACATTGGATGGCCTCTTATAGAAAAATGGAACTAGGTCCATTATCTCTCACACTGACTAAAATCAATGAAAACTTATCAAATCTTAAGGTGAAACCTGAAACTTTGAAATTGTTAGGAGAAAACATTTCAAATTATAGGCATTTGTAAGGACTTTCTGAAAAGAATGCAAATAATTAAGAAGTAAAATCAAGAACTTGCGAATGAGATTCATTAAGTTGGCGTATTTAACAACAAAGAAAACAAATGAGTAGGTAGACTACAGAATGGGAAACAGATTTGCTAATTAATAGCAGACTCAAGATTAACATGGAGAATATATAGATAACTAAAACCCAAACAAACTAAAATTCCAGAAAGACAAACAATTCAGTTGAGAAATGGGCTAATGATTTAAATAAACACAACAATCAAATGATAGAGATAAATGCTCAATATTCATATGGAAAAATATTCAATATGGTTAGCGATTAGGGAATGAAAATTAAAATTATATCAGGATGCCATGTTACCCTAGTCAGAATGACAACCATTAGGAAAATAAATAGCCAATTCTGGCAAGGATGATGAGAAAGGGGATCTTGTATACTGCTACATATAAGAATATAAATTAATCTGTCTAATATGGAAATCAGTATGCTCATGGAGATTCCTCAACAAAACAAAAAATAGGACATATGACCTAGCTATACTATAATCCAGCTACACTTTCCTGAGTATAGACCCAAAGGACTTTAAGTTAACATACCACAGTGATACCAGCACATCTTTATCATTTTTGTAGCACTAATTGCAACAGGCAATTTATAGAATAAACACAGGTGTCCACTAAAAGAATGGATAAAGAAAACGTGGTATGTTTACACAGTTGAATTTTATTCAGTCATAAATGGGGAAATGGAGAAATGGATAAGTAGTTAAGAATGCTGGGTTCCCTTTTAGAGGACCTGGGTTTGATTCCTAGCACCTCAGAGCTGTGTATAACAATTGATTCACATGACTGATACTGTTTTCTGGCCTCCTTGGGCACCAGGCACACACATGATGCTCAGATATACCTGCAGGCAAAATATCCCTACACATGAAATAGCAATAAATAAGCCATAAAAAGTTAAAAAAGAATGAAATTCTGTTTTTAGGAAAATGGTATCAACTGGAGATTATTATGTTAAGTAAATAAATCAGATTCAGAACAACAAATATTACATGTTTTCTTTCATTTGTGGGTCTTAGATTTTATACAAATACATAAAATTACATACACACCATGTATGTAAAACCTAGACTCCGGTGAACTAGAATAATAGGAAGGGTAAGAGGGGGGAAAGAGAAATGATCTAAGAATGAATATGATCAAAGCATATGACAAACTTGCATAAACCTGTCATTATGAAAACCATCTGTATGTTTAAGGATCCTATACTACTATGATTAAAACAAGACTCCCTAGAATAAAATACATTTCAGTAGCTTCGCGTTGGTAGTGCACACCTTTAATCCCAGCACTTGGGAGGCAGAGGCAGGAAGATCTCTGAATTCAAGGCCAGCCTGGTCTACAGAGGGAGTTCTAGGACAGGCTCCAAAATAATACAGAGAAACCCTTTCTCGAAAAATAAAAAAAAATACAATTAGTTCACCTACTACTATAAATGATCATAAAGATTACTTATAATGATTATGATACTATTATTACTTCTGTGTATACCTAGAACCATACTAGAAGTTGACAGGATTCCATTGAAGAATATATATTTAAAACATCTCCGAGGAAAGGTGTATTTATTGTCTGACTCTATGGTACTTTAGCTTATACATGTCTCTCTCATTCTTAACCTCACTTAACAATTACATCTATTTATTTTTTTATTAAATATTTTAATTGTCTTTTCTATTTTTAAAAATAAATACATTTATTTATTTTACATCTTGGCTACATTTTCCTCTCTCTCCTCTGCTCTTGGTTTCTCCCACCAATCTCTGACATCTATTTATTTTTATGAAGGAACTTTACATACCTGAATATTATCACACATTTCTTGGCTATATGTTAACCGCTGGATTTCAGTAGGAGAGACGAGGTATAATGCCTGTCCTTCATTAGTAAAACAAAATGTCCGTGCTATCCTCATGTCTGTCAGTGGCAAATAATTTACATCCAACATTGGGCGGAGACTAGGTAAACTGAATAGGAAAAAAAATAGTAAATCTACATTTCATATTTACATTGATATAAACATTTTCTTTAATAAAAAACCTTTAAGTCATTATTTTACATTTTTGCTTTATAGTATCTTTAAAGATTAGTAACAAATAGACATTCATATATAATCACATGTACACACACAAACATGAGCACAGTTCTATCTTAGCCCATATAAATGCTTTGCAAGTGTCCTTAGAGGATTAATGTAGAGGCCCATGGTCTCTCTAAGCACAACTCCTCAGTCCCTTAGTCCCTCTTCACAGGAAATGAAGTCTTCCTGTTTCTTGGGGCATCTATATTGAACATGACTAATAAATAAACATGGCCAAATCTTAAGAGAATGAGTATGTAATAAGTAACAGATTAGTGTTTATACTCAAGAAAGACTACATCTTGTAGTGCCTTCCTAACGTAACCCTGCAGCTATAATTTTGATGAGATAGTCCTAGGAATGTCCTTTTGGATACTGTAGTAAGAGCCAATTTATAAGCCACTATTGGAAAACAGTTTTTTCATCACTCCTTGAACATCAAGGGCAGAGAGAACTTCTTTGGTTTAATCCTTAAATGGCAACTCTCTAATTCTTTGTGTATAGTGGTTTTACAGATAGCATCCAAAAAGTTACCATTTTACTTTTAAAAATGCTTTTTAACTACATTCAGAGACCCAAAATTTTACTATATAATATTGGGACTGAAATCTATATTATTTCAGTAAGTATTTATTGATGTTCAAGCATCATGCTGCCTGCTATTTTAGCCACCAACTAGTCGTATGACTATTGAGCAGGTAAATAGATGCTTTTTGGGTAGTCAGAATTGAGATATGCTGAAAGTGCAAATTACACACTGGATTTAAAAGACTTAGTAATAAAAATTGTCTGAAATATGGAAGATATAACAATGGCTTAATATAAATTTTGAGTAACAAACTTAGAGGAGGGAAGGACACACACACACACACACATAAGTAGGAGCTCCCTGTAACTGAAGTATGTCTAGGGGTTAAATCATTTACAAACAAGATGGAGTGATCTTCACTGGAAATCTCTGAAAATAGTTTGAGGAAAAATGAGAACTATATGAGAATAAGCAAGCCATGATGATTGCCTTTTCCCCAATTTCTCCCTCACTGGTTATAGATCTCTTCATGTCTTCCCAGTTAGAAACAAAGAAACAAGATACCATGAAAGTCTGGTCTTACTCTTGAGTGACTTCCTACTTTTCTTCTAGTTACCACAACATTTTCTGAAAGAATAACCTAAAGTGGGGTAAGGGATCAGACAGAAAAGGTTTAGCAGCTCCTTCGCAACTGTTCAGTTCTGCTGTGTAGTGAAAAAACAGCCATTGTCAACATAGGCATGATGGATGTGGCTGTGCTACCAGATGCTTTCTTTTCAAACACTGGAATTCATATAATTCCCACCAACAGTATTTTCTGACTTTTTCAACCATTTAAATCTTGGCTTGCAGGCTTTATGAAATCAGACAGAGACTGATTTTGGCATCATTTGCCAACCTTGTATCTGCACTACTCTCTGTTTTCTTGCCCTCCTGAGGGCTAGCCCTTACCTTCCCATTGCTCCTAACACTTGCTTTCTTAAAGGGTTTCACACAGCCCAGGCTGGCCTCCAACTTACTATGTAGCAGAGGATTACCTTGAATTTTGGAACCTCCTGGCTTCACTGCCAGGATTCTAAGCATGCTCCGACATAACTAGTTTACAGTTTTGGTCCTGGTAACCTAATTCTTCGACCTTTCTGATAAATTTGCTACTCTTGACTACCTCTTTAGTTGTGATACTCTCCTTTCTATTGCAGAAGGATGTGCTGTTCTGGTCCTTTTCTTGTCTCTCTGATGCCTTCACAACCTCCTTCTTTGGATTTTCTTTTCTCCAGTACATAAATACAGAGATTGGCCCCAAGCTCCTATCCTAGACATAGTCTACGTTTCATTTTTTAATAGGACCTTTTGTTGACTTTTTGGCTGTTACCAGTTTTCCTAGATGATGCTCAAACCTGTATTTCCCAAGAGACCAGACCTTAAATTGCCAGTAAGCTTCTGCTGGATGACTTGGGAACACCTCAAATGTCAAACTTCTAAAATCCATCTTCTTATTCTCAGTCTTTTCAATTTCCTCTCACTTTCTTACCTGCTAATAGCATTATTATAATACAAATCCCCCAATCCTGAGACTTAGTGATCTTCCTTACCTTGTATAACAAATCAGCTTTGCATGCAGCAAGTTACCCTCTTCCTGCAGTCCTGCTCCCTCCTTGCCTTGTAGATAGCTTTCATTTCAGCTCAAGAGCCCATCTCAAAGCTCTGTCTCCTCATGAGTATTTCCTAGTGCTTATCCAGAGAAGACTAACTACTTGCTTTAAAAATCCCACTTCTTACAAATCTTATATTTAGCTCGTCACTCAAGGTCCTCAGACATTTATGCCAACTACCTCTCCAACTTACTTTTTTTCTAGTATACATTTAGTAATTCAGTGCTTTTAAACTTTGGGGAAAATTCAATTTACATTTCCTCTAATGGCATTTTCATTTTCTCTGTTTTCTAATTATTTGTGTATTATCTTATGTTACCAATTTTGTCTCCTTTTCATATCTAGTGTAATATTTTATTGTTTAAATGATTTTAGGACAAGGTGAGACATTAGCAAGAATGACAGTCGCTTCTATAATATATTGAACAGATTTCATTTTCTTGTAGCTTATTCATCTGTGACTACTACCATAGCATTGTTGAATCCATAAACTCATTAGGTAATATTATATGTCTCACAAGCTTTAGATGATTTCATGGAGTAGAATTAACTCTTATTTTCATGTGGCTTTTAGTGCCCTATTGAGTGCTGACTTTACTTTTTCCCATGCTTTATGCCTTCAGACAAATTATTTTCCTTTAATTTCTGGTACTGGAAAATAATACTTGTCAATGTCCTTACAAAGCTGTGAGAATAAAGTGAAATTCTGTGTGTAAAGTTCTTATGTGATAGTGAAAGCAACAGATATTTTTATTTCTAAATAGCTTCTGAATCCAGTGTCTAATGTATTCCTAGTAATTGCTTGTTAAATTAATGTATGAATTATTGGGAAATGATTCTTTCCTTGGACTCTTTGTTTTCAGATATATATATATATATATATATATATATATATATATATATATGGTATTTTTAGAAAACAAAACCAAAACCAGAACCAGCCCTGTCCATACCCAAGCCACAAACCTCTTTTTATGTTGTTGAACAACAAAACATTCACAAACATAATGAAACATCATATCAGGTTGCTTCTCTTCAACAGTATGCATATACTTTTCATCATTATACCTTGCTATGTTATGACTACCAGTTAACAATAAATATGTCAAGTACCTCATTATCATGATATGCCCATTTGCACAAAAGCAGGCCAAGCAGGCACTGTTACACATGACCACCACCTCTGCTTGCAGAATGAAAGAGGTCTCTGTGATGTTGTGAACGTAAAGGCAGGTCTGAGACGGCAGTGAGAAGATTTTGGCTTGCTTTTCTGAGCAGATTATTGTATACTGATGGTCGCCTGTTTCTTGGGATGAAGTGGAGTAGTTCATAACTAATTTCCTTTTCCACGTTTTTTCATTTTCATCTGTGTTGTTTGGATCCCTCCATACTTCATATGGAGGCTGCATTAAACTGCCAGTTCTGTCCATGCAGGAAAATGTTAGCACAGCTCCTTTCAATGAGAGGAATGTACCTAAAAGACAATCACGTCACTCACATGTGAGGCCCTTTCTAAAGCAGTATATACTATTACTGATGGGCACTAAATGCTTCACATCATGATAATTTACAGGGATATTATAATATTCTAACCGTATAACTATAATCAGTATGTTAATCTGCTGTAATAAGTTGACTTAATGAAATTTTAGGTCTAAAAGGAAACTAAAATATCAGTTTGCCCAACTTGTTCACTGTTACTGAGAAACAGATCTAGAAGGATGGTAACATTAGGGATGGGCCATACACCTTGGACTATAGCCTCAGGCACAGTTAATATTAAGCCTGATTAGAACTCGGGTTTCCTGATTCAAATCCCAAGAATTGTTTTTTTTTTTTTATAAATTTAAATGTTTTTATTACCTTTTTGTTTAATATGTTTTTAATTTTTGTTTGATATGTTTTGAATTGAAATAGAATTGTTTCACTTTCCCTCCCTTTCCTTCCTCCAGCCCTTCCAGTGAACCCTTCCATCTTTCCCACAGGCAGCTAATGACTTCTGGGAGAAGAATTCACCTTCCCAGGGGATGAGCCCCTTATTGGTTGCTCAGTGCAGAGTGGTCACCTCTGAAAACACAAACACAGGATTTTTTTCATTATCCTATATAGTTCCAATAAAACCCATAAAAGTTTAATAGGCAAATTTTTAATTTGTGTATAACTTTCATGTTTTTCAAGTGAGTTCAACTATTCAAACAAAAACGAAACACATACTACCTGATTCTACTTTCTTCTTTGATGCTTATTGACTAGAAAATGCCCTTTGATTTTTCTGAAATTAAACCCCTAACACATATTATGTGATCTCAACATTTAGAGCTACTCCATGCTGCCAATTTTTGCTTTGATCTTTGATCTTAGCTAAAAGGTCAAAAAGGGATGGCAATTTTATTTATTATTTTGATTTTTCAAGACAGGGTTTCTCTGTGTAGCTCTGGCTGTCCTGGAACTTGCTCTGTAGACCAGGCTGGCCTCGAATTCAGAGATCTGCCTCTGGGTTCTGGGATTAAATGTGTGCACCACCATGCCTGGTGTAATGTAAATTTTAATGGTACAACAAACAAGTTCTTTTAAAAAATAACTAGGGATAGAGTCCGTTTTGTGAAACTCAAAACTTTGTCACTTTTGGCCTCTAATAAAATAATTTAAAAATTTTGCCTTCAACTCTTAGGCAAGTTTGTGTATCTTAATTCAGTAAAAGGGTTATTCACCTATATTTCCCATGGTTGAATGCCCATGGCAGATAGCTATCTATATGTAATTATATGTTACTATGTATAATTAACATATGCAAATAACATCGAAGGAGCAAAGTGTTCCATTTGTTTATCCACTTACTGACTGGATTATTTACTTTTGATATTCTCTTTTTAGTTCTTTATGTATTTTGGTTAATTCCTTGTTGAACAACTAGCGACATTTTTCTCCCATTCTTTACTCTGTCTCTTCCCTTGTTTGCTGTGAAGAATCCTTTGAATCTGATGTAATTCAACTCATCAATTTTCTCCACTGTTATTGATCATTTGGGTCCTACTTGGAGAATCATCTCTTGTGATTAAATCTTGAAGTGTTTCCCCTATGGTTTTTTTTAAAGATGGTTTTAAAGTTTCAGGTTCTGAAGGATACTTTCTCTTCCTAGATACACTGGGGGAGGGGTGGGTGGAGAAAGGCCCTGCCCCAAATGACTTGACAGACTTTGATGATCCCATAAGAAAGGCTTCACCCTCCCTGGGGTGTGGTTGAGGGATGGAATGGGGGGATGGTGGGGGGCTTAGGAGGATGGGAGGAAGAAGGAACTGGGATTGATATGTAGAATAAGATTGTTTCTAATTTAACTAAAAATTCATAATAAATGATCTGTGATTCCATTCAATTTAATTAACATAGTTTTATGCTAGGTTGCCTAGTCTTTGCATGTCTGATTAATTTCCTTAGTGCAGAGTCCTAAGTTTCCATGGACTTTTAAGATACGATTTAACAAGTCAGCTTACTGACTCAGGACTGGGAGGTCAGCCCCAGCTGGTAGTTTCTAATGAAGCAGGGATTCAGCTTAATAAGATCAGAACTGAAGAACAAACACCATGTGATCAATTGCAAAGTGCGGTGAGTAGGGAATCAAGAAACAGCTTCAAATCGAATCCTCTCTCTACTTTGCTTGAAGCATGTTGTTTATCCTCTCTGCAATGTATTAATACAAAATTGGGACACACGATAGTCAATTTGATAGATTAGCATCACATGGGCACTTGCTTAAAGTGCAAATCTTCAGACTACCTTAGACCTACTGAACCAGAGCGTCTGGGGTGGGATCCTTTGATCCTTATCACAGCGATACCTACAAATGATTCTGATAGAAACAAAAGTGACAGTATGGAAGAGACACAGTATGTATGTGCTTTCCAACTCTCCAATGGCCAAATGCACTTCAAACTTCCATATTACTGGTAAGAATATGCTGCTAGGACTGGCAAGATTATCTACGTGAAAATATTCCCTATTAAAGGAAAATGGGATTTTATTTTTAATATCCCTTTTCGTTACTGATTCAACATCCTTACCAGTTCTGGGTCTGTTCAAACTTTCTACTGACTCAAGCTTTGGTGCACTGTATATTTCCAGTGTGGTATTCATTTCCTTTAGGTCTGTTGGAATGCCAGGATAACACAACCATGATAAGGTACAACTTCATATCTGTTAGGATAACCATTCTAAAATCATCAGAAGATAACAATGAAGGCGTGATGTGGAGAAACTAAAGCATTACACTGTTGGTATATCCACACATGCAAAACAGTGCAATGACATGTGTCAGAACACTGTTCAAGAATGGAGTCACGTGAGGAGAATTATGAGTGCTTGTGGGAAAACAAGACAAGAATCTTGTGACCTCAGTTTCTTCAAAACATGGAATTGTTCTTGGAGTTTTTTTTTTTTTTTTGCCACTCCTGAGTATAATAGATAGGAGTGAGTGTACTTCAGGTGACTCATTACAAGTGACCATTGTTATTTGTTTATGTGCCTCTATGGAGAAACATGATTTGCCACATGCAATTTGTTCTTGTGATAATATACAGCTTGGACTCATGAGAACTTTACTCAGGTGACCTTTCTTAACTCTCAGGGTATAAAGTGTCTGATGCTCTGAATAAAGTTGGCTATTGCATGAGACTTTTGTCTGCCTCATTTTTAGGCTTCATTCTCCCAGGTTCCACTGCCAATTAGAGCAGTAAACAGACATGAAAAGGGTGTGGAGATTTACCAAAAAAATTAAAAATGGAACTAATATATAACCAAGAAACACAGCTCTGGAGTTGCACCATGTGCAGTGCTATTTACAATAGTGATGATGTGGAAACAACCTATGTCTCCAGCAGATGAATGGATAAAATCGTGATCTATAGATGCAATTTCAATATTGTTCAATCTGAAAAGAAAGCAGCTCTCTAATACTCAAATACATTGATGAACCTTGTGAGTATTACATTTAGTGAAATAGGCCAATCACAAAAGATCAAATGTTGCATGATTTTACTAATATGAGGCATTTAAAACAGTTAAACTCATATGAGCTAAGAATAAACTGATGGTATCCAAGAATGGGAGAAGGGATAATGAGGAATTGCTAACAAACTAATACAACATTTAAATTATGGAAGGTAAGTTGAAGAGATGTGCTGTGCAGTACTGTAGTACAGATAATAACACAGCGGGTTTTCATGAATTGAATGAGGGTCAGTGGGTGTAGAATGGAGAATGGATATGGCAAAGAGATGAGAACCAGGACAACAATCGCAGAGCCAATCAATGAGCTGTGAGGAGGAAAAGTAGAGCTTCCATTCTTACTTGGAATTTTTTGTCATCTTTTTCTTATGAAATTCTACTCCCTTTTCTCTTTTTACTGCTATAAATTTGGCTTCCAGTTACTCTTTATTTTCTCTCAATGGTTAATTATAAAACAAACATGAACCTAGCATCATAGTTTCTGGCCTGGCATAGAACTTTGGAAAATGCTTCAAGTTATTAAAAATAAATTGAACTTGTGCAGTAACATTTATCTCAGCACGTTAGAGGCCCTTATTTCCAAAGGCACAGCTCAGACTGGCCTTTCTGGATTCCCATCATAGAAACAACTCAACTGTACTCTCACCCTGAGAACTGGTACATGACAGTGCAGTAAGTGTTGGGAGAATATTTGAGTTATGAAATTCTCAATAGTCAATATTACATATGAGTCTTAGACTGTTCACCTTTGCCTGAAATCAATGAACATTATCAATTCTTAACATCTAAAGTTGAGTACATAGCAAAAAGGGAATGAGTGAATTAAAAACTCTTACCACTTGGCAATACCATCACTGGCTCTGTAAACCTTTGTTCATCTGATGATGGTAGGTTCAGGGAGATGAGTAATACCATTCCCAGACTAGTTCCAACAAACAGACAAGGGGAAACAGTAGAGTCATTCTTTCGTGCGAAGGATTCCATGAAGTATAAAGCTGTAACTGCTTCTTTGGAGTCTTTGTCAATACTGGAGATGCTAGAGCTCCTGGAGCGGTTATAGGAATTCTCTCTGGCTTCTATGAGCATTTAAAAAGCAAAATCAAGTGTTAATGAATCTACAAAACAATAGAATTTAATACTTAAGAACCATAATTATGAGAAAAAGAAAAGTTTTATTCTTTGTTTACTGGCATGGATGGCATCTTACCAAGGGTACCAGCTAATCCTGAAGGAGGACAGTCTGGTCTATGTGCTATAATAAACTTGGGCAGAGTTAAAACCAAAACCCCAGTCTCCTGAGTTCTAGTACACATTTTTTCTTTTCTATATTTCCTGAAAGATAGTTCAAATTCTAATCAGAGAAAGAAAACAATCCTTAAATTTAAATAGTCAAGATTATATTTTCTGTTTCTATTTTAATTGTTTTTCCTTCCCATCTTTTGATCATAGAAACCATACTGATGATTCTTTGGCAAATCACACTTACCAACATGAAAGGACCCACATGAAAGGACCAATCTGGATCATAAACGTTCTGTGACAAACATATTGTATACCCTATGCAATTGAAGCTATAAAAATTGAAGTTTTAACTTAAGTCCAAAAATGTGAATGTGATTTATGTAAACTTGTTTTGAGCTGCCTCTTGCAATCCAGGTCTAATTTTGCCAAGGACCCAAAAGACTGCCATCCCATTAACACTGGCTTTCCTGGGAAGACTTCAGCCTTCTTATGAAAGAAACAAGATCAGCATGGTTTTGGGTGCTCTTGCTTTATCCACACCTGCACATGTGCACCCTTCAATAAACATAAATCTGTCAAACAGTAATACTGTGACAATGGCTTTAATTGCTCAAGTACAGGCTCTTGTTAGCTCTTCCTACTCTCTTCACTCACCTTTTCCTCTAGATAGATCTGTGTGTGTCCTGATAATTTTCATAGGACCAGATGGAATATACGTTCTTCAAAATATATTTAGAAGGAACAGAATGCAATATTCCTAATTTCCCCTTATATCTTACCAAATTTATAAAACATGGCTTAAAAAATTTAGAGGTGACAGAAGTTAGATTATCATCTTCATACTTTACAAATTTAAAGACAGAATTGTAGCTAAATTGTTTTCTAACACAAGCTAGAGGCAGAAATATCTACAACTCAAAAATCTGCAGCATTCATTCCAATGATTATTCTTTCTTTTGTAATCCTTATCCGATGCTCCTATTGCAGCATTTGTAGCTAATCTGTGTCTTCAAAATTTCACTCATGATTATTACCATGCAACACCGATACTCACAAAAACCTGCTAGAAATGTAATGCAGTTATTTCCATGTAAACTGGACCAGATTTAGTATGACATAATATTAAATAAAAACTGAACACTGAATTCATTAAAAATTATTTGAAGAACAATAATAGATTGTTGTTTGAGAATATAAAGGATTGTACAGGGTTACTATAGCCTAATCTTTCTATTATTTTCCCCCAATCTTCTCCTAAAATCTTTATTACCAAAAGTAAAAGCAAAATGACAAGGTACTGTTTTCTTTCCTTTGCTAAACAGTTTTGACTCTCCTCTTGAATTTTACTTCCCATCCTTATACTTATTTTATAAATAAGGAAACAATCTTTCCTTTAAAATTTTAAGTAGATTATAAACTTTATTATTATTTATTTATCATTGATTTATTTTGTGGCACTGGGGATATATCTGGACCTCATGCAGACTGGGTAAGAGTCAGCCTCTGAATTACATCCCCAGACCTTTTGTACTTCATTCTTTGAAGTCAGGGTCTTGGTAAATGGTACAGACTGGCCTTGAGCTCCCTCTGTAACCCAGGCAGGTCTTGCAATCCTCCTGCCTCAGTCTCCCCTGCAGCTGGGATTACAGGCCTGTGCCACCAGACCCAGCTAAGATTCTAAATGTTAAAATTTAAAAACGTGTCTTTTTAAACTCGGTTATATTCATTTGACAGTAGAGGAAATTAAGTTTGCAGTTACAGATTATCTCCTTTTGTATAGTCTACCTACAGTGTAATATTTTTTTCTTTTTTTAGAGATAAGGAAGGAGGTGGAGTGGGCAATAGAATTGGAGTTATGGCCACAGTCAAACAGGATCTCAGTTTTTTCAATGTCATGTAGTTTTTATCATCTTTTAAATGTAACTTCCATTTCTTGTCTCCCAGCACCTGTTACCATGATAAACCAAGTTTTGAACTGTACTCACAAAAATTGACATGTTTAGCCTACCTTCAGTTGTAACTGGTAAAGAAATCTCCATGCAAGCAGCTGACTGTGCCTTTCTAAATGGTGGTCTTCCAGGACCCCAGCGATTTACTTTTGAAACATCAGCACTGGAAAGACGTTTTCCAGAACTGCAACTCTGAGAAGTTGGACTTGTGCAGTGTCCATTTACATGGTCTGTACCAAGAGGAAGAAGGCAGAATAAATATCATAATTAAGTCTTCAGATGAGGAAATCCCAAGGCATAGGTTAAAAAATGGAGGAACAAGAATTCCTCATCTTCCAACCCATTTGCATATGACTAGTTTCTTGCTATTTTAAGACTTAGTTACAATTTCAGATTATAAGAAAATCAAAATATTTATTATGTATAGGACACACTTTCATAATTTGTTTAATTATCATTGCTTTAAATGTGCTGTATATACCTGCTATGCATTTAATATATTGTTGAATGGCAATATGAGATGAGTTTTAACATTGTACTTTTTGTCACATTATTTGAACAGATCTAATTTATGTAAGTTTTGGAAGTACTTCCTTTACTTGGAGTTTAGGATGTAAAATGATGGCCTCATACTATGTGCTTGAGAATGGTACTTAAGGACACTGATTTGAAGCCAAGATGCCTTTATGTACATTACAGTTCTGAAACTAATTAGTTCTGTCCTACTGAAGTCTTCACATTGGTTTCTTCTGCATATTTAGAATATTATTACCTATTTTCTTGCAGTTTCTGTAATTTGTTTGGAATATATGTCCTACACAGAGGGCTGCAATAGACAGTGTATAAAATTTTTGTCACTCTTGTTTCAAAGTATAAAATTACTTACATATAAAATGTTCATGTAATGTCTGTGAAAGTTTGGGTACCACTTTAAAAACTTGGGGCTAGGAGTATACCTCAATGGTAGGAAACTTACTTAGCATGGAAACAGATATTTTGTTTAAAATTAATAAATTGCATTTGAAATATCATTCATAGTTATGCAATATAAATAATGCACTATGGAGCATTCTTCTCTGGTCATCCTTGAGGTAGAGCTACATGGAAATGCCTACTGGCAGTGTTGAATATGTGGAACTGACAATCCATTATAGCCTTTCTGTATTGCACAGGGTTTAAAGCCTAAAATTGTATATTTTTCTGGATTACTTTGCAGCTACTGAAGGACAGGAATTATTTCTTACCATTTTAGTAGAATTCTTCCTACTAATTTTTAAAATGAGAGTTAACATTTGTCAATATTTAAATGGTGGGCATTGTGTGTGTGTGTGTGTGTGTGTATTATATCATTTAATTTTCAAATAATCCTGTAAGATAATCTGTTATTATTTTGACATTATAAATCAGAAAAATGAAGAACATAATAAATGAAATTTCCTATCAGGCAAGAGTCTAAACTGATTTTCTCAATTGATATATATGCTTAAACACTGAATTACAGAATTAGCTAAAATAGTTGGGAAATAATGATATTTTTGAAAATATATTTGGTAGTGCTTGAGAAATTGATGAAGCCCATTTAGTTATTTTGGAATCAAAGCATCTTTCATCTTGAACAGAAATTCAGAAATCTCAGCTAAAAAGGCAGAAGTTATCTTATGAAGAGTCAGACACTGCAAAGAAGTCAAGAGTTCTTTTTGTCCTTCTTCATCATAAAAAAAGAGAAACAAGGGCAACAGTTGGCATTAACAGCCTAGCGAGCATTAGACAATGCAATTGCTTTAGATACACAATTTGCAACAATGTCCCCTTCTCATGCAGCAGTCAGAAAACCCTGTTCTCTTCACAAACTTGGCACCTTGCTTTAGCAACAATGCCTTATCCACCATGCCCAGCACACTTCCTTCCCTTTTAAATCCATGATAGATGTTCTAGAGAAGAATTGATATAAGAAAGAAAAAACTTAGCTCAGACAGGCAACTTGGAAATTTATATTTGATTTACGATAAATCAGAAGAAAAGCAATTGTAGCTATTGACAAAGTCATTCACTGTCATATTGTTTACTACACAGGCTAATCTAGAATCAGTTTCTATTTGGTTTTGCTTGACTTCTTTCACTCATCATTATTAGTCAAGGTTCTTGTATGTGTCAAGCAGTCATTTATTTTCATTTCTGAGGAATATTCCATTGTCTGGGTATGCCACTATTTGTTTAATTATTTATTATTTGATAAATATTTTGAATTTTCCCAGTTCTCAATTATTTTTAAAAAGACTTAAAAAAGTTAATATTCTGAACTTATCAGGATTTAGTGTTTTTTAGTCTTCTTCATTTTCTGGGTATGTTGAGATTTTCTCTTGGTATTGTTTTCCTTTTTTTGACATCTGGATTTTTGGCTGTTGGATTCTTGTAGGGATGTGTGTGTGTGTGTGTGTGTGTGTGTGTGTTGCTTCTTTGAGTATCACTAGATAGCTCAGGATACCTTCAAACTTATGATAGTTTGCTTTCCTTTTCCAATTGTTGGTAATGTTGCAGACATGTGCCACCATGCATGGCTTTAGCTTTTGTACACCCAAGACAGGATTTATTTCTCCTTAATTTTGAGCACCATTTCTATTGGTTATAGAATTTTAGGTTGATTGTTTTCTTTCAGTAATTTAAACAAGCTTTTCTGTCTTTCAGCTTTCATTTTCTGTGGAAAAATCTGCCTTATTCCTATTTTTACTACTTGACATGTTAAAATGTCACCTCCCACACCTCTGGCTAATTGGTTTTTTAAAGAATTTCAATGATGACATACTTGATACAATTTTCTCTATATTTCTTATGCTTAGGGTTGATTATACTCCTTGGAACTGTGGATTTGTATTGTTTATCAAATTAGGAAATTGTTTGATATTATTTATTCAAACACTATATTTATGCCCCTCCCATTCTTTTCTCTTTCCAGAATTCTTAGAGCATATGCATTAGTGGCACAGAGTTTCTTTCTAAACAGTACAATTTTATAGTTCATTAATATCATCCGAATGCAGCATCAATTCTTCTTATGCCCATTTATCATCTCAAAGAAAATATTTTTATCTCTAAAAGATTGATTTAGATCTTTTTGTAGCTTCATACTTCTTTTTGACATCTCTGGACCTTTATCTCCCTCTGCAGTATTAAGTTGACTACTTCTAGACTGCCTATAATTTCTATGTCAGTTTCTATTGATTAATATTCTCTTATCATAAGTTCCTCTTCAACAGGTTCTAGACACTGTTACATATTAGTCTTTAAAGTTTTTCAGTATTCTTTAAAGATACGTCAGACTTTTTCCAAGACACAGTACAATTTTTTAGAAGGATAGTTTTATTTTTATTTTAAAAGAATTATATATCCATATTAACATGTCTCAAATGTTCAGAATAGCATATGGGTAAGTGAAGTGAATGACAACAATATAAGGAATAGCTACTATATGACACAGCAATTGTAAAGCAGCATGGTGCTAACTAAAAAAGAATTTGGATTAGTTGTAAAGGTATATCATAAATTTTAAGGAAACTACTGAAAAAGTAAATATATATATATTTATATATATATAATTGAACGACCAAAGTAAAAGACACTGAAAAGAGAAAACCGTTGATTCTTGCATTGTCCTCCCTGCCTCCCAACTCCAAGCTGTGCAGCCCAGAGAAAGACTCTCCTTATGGTAGGAGACAAAATTAAGCCCACACCTTAGATTTGAATCCTAGTCCCAGACCTGCAATGGAGAAATCCAATACTGAGCAAAATATTGCTCAACCATACCACCAGACAATACTTGTAGACTGAGCAACTAATATTGTATTAGAAAACGTGGTTATCTTCCTCTACCACCTTCCTCCCACTTCCAATGGAAAGCAGGTCTCCATCCATAGAGACAAAGGCTAGCACAGGTCTTTGTTTAGAACTCAGTGCCATGCTTGTTGTTATGCAATTCAGTATCTGGTAAGAAGAAAAGACCTGTAGGCAGGCTAGAGCTCACAAACCAAGCTTCTAGACATCCATATAAGGTGAAGACTGATAAGACAACCTGGGATTTTATTCTATCATTTCCAACTTTAGAATGAGCCCAAGACACGTCCACCTTTTTCCTGAGACTGCAGAACCAATAGATATGAGACTTAGGTGTAATCCAGTTTAACATCAGCATTAGTAGTCTATGGAACTTGTGCTAAACCACCCCTAAACTGGGAGAACTCATCTATTGGCAGGCAAGTGCTTACAAACATAGCTCTGCCTTGGCATTGGGCAGACACCCATGTTCCATCAGGACAGACTCATGTTTCACCCTCTATCACTGCCAGGCAGGGTGTAGTCTTAGCTGACCCAGAGACTGTACAGGTTCTTATGACCATGATACCCTGTTAAGACTCATTTTGCATCAGAATAGATAAGAGATTCTTTTCACATTATCATTTCAACCTTGGGCAGCACTGTATGGTAGAAGACTCCATTCACTGGAGTGTAGGACAAAGTAATAGGGTTAATACTACATGACACTGGTGCTATGCCGATAAAACAGAATTCTTAGCTGTTTCTAACAGTACTGTCCCTTAGTGCTGTCTGCAGATTGGAATCTCTGAAACGACTCCAGGTCTAGGGGGAAACATGCAGCCATTATATGCCAAGCTTTCCTTTCCGCTAGCAGCACTTGTGATTATTTGCAGTGATCTTTGCCCAAAAGTTTACTTCAGCAATAGGTAATGTGCTGGTTAGTTTTTGTTAACCTGACACAGGTCAGGGTCATCTACGAAGAGGAACTTCAACTGAGAAAATGCCCTTGGCATGGTATGACACAGAAATCTTGGGCTGATTTATATATGGCAACTGAGCATAGACAGGCAGAATCTGAAGTGGCTGACCTTAGGAAATAATTACATATAAGTTATTTGGGACTATCATGACCCCCATTGAGACACTTGTTGGGAAAGATTACTCTTTCTATTACACGCTGAGCAACATACCAAAGTGTATGTGGAGACAAACCTTATCTTGGATTGGCCAAAACACAGAGACACTGACAACAGACCAAGACCAGACTCTTGTCACATTTAGGTCTAAGTACTATCTTGTCCTGAAATATGGTGAATGTCTATAGGCATGGAGAAAATAAGCAGCCTGCTTAGAATTGCCTGAACTAAAGGAAGAAACAAAGTCAGAATAAAAAGTCTGGGTAACTAATCCTTCAATGTTT